TTAACCCAAGCCTGGATAAATCTACTCAAATTGATACCAGTCATTCACAAGCCAGGGGAGTACTCCATAATTATACAAAAGATTAAAGAATAAATGAAGTATGGAGAACAAGGATCCCAAGTAATAAGGAATTTTCATGTTATTCAAGCTCACACCAATCCCATTCGTGTATTGATTATTTTCTTATCTCCGTGGAGTTATTGCCTCACGTGGAGGACTGTTGGTACAATAGTATTGTAATTAGTGATCATGCTGCAGTGTCCTTGGAAATTAAAGTAAATAAGATTGATCAAGGGATAAAATGATGGAGGATGCAGACACTTTTGTTAAAAGACTCAAAGTTTGTTACATTCATAAAAACTTGCATTGATCAGTATTTTGAAATGAATAAAGATGAAACAACAGCTAGTATTAGATGGAAAGCTTTTAATGCTTATATTAGAGAAGAAATTATCAGTTATAGCAGTAATAAAAATAAACAATATAACCAAGAATTAAAATTATTAGAGAGACAAATTGAATCCAGCAAAACAGAACTTTATCAGAGTAATGATCAGACAAAATTACACATACTGAATGTTTTAAGAACCAGATATGATAAACTAACGGTAGAGAAATTGGTAAAAAAAAAAAAAAAAAAAAACTTAAACGTGGATTAAACAAGCATTTTATGATCAAGGAGAAAAGGCTGGTAAATTACTGGCTTGGAGGATAAAACAGATGCAAGCGGAAAGAACAATTAACAGCATAATATCAAAATCAGGCATTTGAACCACAGACCCTTCAGAAATAAATGAACCCTTTTAGATGAGGAGAAAACAACTGTCAATAGTCCTTTCACAATAAAAGTTCTATCTGAAGCAATAGACAGCATGAATAGTGGTAAAACCCCAAGTCCTGATGGACTTCCAATAGAATTTTATAAAACATTTAAAAATAAATGAATCCTACCAACATGTATGAGGAATCATATAAACCTGGAATACTCCCAGACTCACTGAGGTTAGCTACAATAACTCTCTTGCTAAAACCAAATAAACCCTCCACTAAATGCTCCTCTTATAGAGGAATCAGTCTTATGGGATGTGATACAAAGGTTTTGTGTAAAGCCCTCTCTAGGAGATTAGATAAGTACCTGCCCAGTTTAATAGTAGATGATCAGCAAGGATTTATTAAAACAAGACAAGGCTACCATAATATAAGACGGGTTCTTAATGCATTGCATGAAAAACATAATTGTTTTTCAACAATTATGTTATCATTGGACGCACATCAAGCGTTTGATAGAATACAGTTGAACTAATCTGTTTGAAGTGCTCCCCAAATATAGACTTGGTGAAAGCTTTCTAAAATGGATAAGACTACTACATACTGATCCCATAGCACAAGTTTTAACTAATAATAACATGTCAAAAACCTTTTAATTTACAACGGTCAACTAGACAAGGTTGCCCCCTGTCACCACTGCTTTTTGTATTGGTACAACCTCTGGTGATGGCTGTTAGAGCAAATACTGGAATATCCGGTATTAGAATTGGAGGAAGAGATCATCTCATTTCCTTGTTTGCGGATATCATATTTTTCATGAGTAATCTGAAGTTCAGTATTCCAAAATTATTACATCTAATCAAAGAATTCGGTGAATTATAATTAAAAATTATAATCCCCTTGTGGAAAAAGTCACAGAAATGCTATATAGATGGTCAAGCCTGCCTATGTCCATAATTGGCCGAATAAATGTATTAAAAATGACAATCTTACCCAAGTTTTTGTATTATTTCCAATCACTTCCATTGCCGCTGTCAGATTCATTTTATGATAGTCTGGACAAACTATTTACTCAATTTATTTGGAGTAATAGAAAAGCAAGACTTCGTTTAAAACTACTCTAAAGAGGTGGACTTCAAGTCCCTAATCTCAGATGGTATTATATGGCCGCCCAACTAACATCAGCTACCCATTACTTTTGCCTGATGACGCCTCCAGCCTGGGTAAACATTGATCTGTTCCAGATTTCCCCTTAAATACCTTTCTATATTCTTCGAAAACTCCACTTGGATCTCCTATGTTTTCCCTGACCTGCTCCTCTCATAATAAAATATTTTAGTTTCTTTAAAAATTAAAGCTTTTTTGTGTCTTTTTAATCATACTTCAGAAACTCTATTTAATGCAGAAACTAAACATTTGCCTGTAATCCTCTTATTTTTGGCCAAGAAATGTATATTACTGAGATGGACAGCACCGCAGGCCCCTACAGTTGATGTGTGGATTTAACAAATCTCTGCTATTGTTTTAGTTGAAAAACTGACTCATGATCTTCATCAAAAGTCAGACAAATTCTGGAGGATCTTTGACCCACTGCAATCTTTCTTACAGAGACTGTAATCTTTACTTATTTTATTAATGAATTAATTTTTTATTTCTTTACATTTACTATATCGCTGACTTGGCCCGAGAGTTTTTGTCTATTTTAATCTTTGCCTGGGAATGTCTGCCTGCACTTTGTATGTGGGCTGTATGTATGTCTTTTCTTGTTGTAGTTTATTTATTTATCTTTTATTATTATTGTTATATATTTTTTAAATTAATTAATTATTTCTTTTATTTTTATATTTTATGCTGACACTGCTGTGCTCCATGTTTGTTCGGGGTGGGTTGTTCTTGTTTACTTGTGTTGGTGTTTACATATAGTTAAAAAATCAATAAACAAATTTAAAAAAATTAAAGCTTTTGAATACATATTTCAATAAACTAATTGAAGACTTCACCTGAGCTTCTTCAGTTCTTAAACAGCACCACTTTTCTAGCATTGCAATTCTCCTGAATATATAATCTAATCTAATCTGATATCATATAATATAATATAATATAATGATGCACATGTTAAGTGGTCGAGTACTTTAAACTGGCTCATTTTGCTGCTCTCATTTCCTTGTGATGAAATACAACAAACATTCTGACCTTAGCTACTAAAGTAGCTAAGTTTTTAGACAAAGTCAGCAGTAAAATATTGAACATGTGACTATTCCAGAATAAAAAATTGCTTAACCAAAGAGATTTGGTTATATATATAAGTGAAAGTAAATTGTAAACAAGATGTTACAAACAAGCAATATTCATGGCAACATTTCCGACAGACCGTAGCGGTGTGACAATCAAACGAGCTTTTGCGATTGAGTCCGCAATATTTTAATTTAATATTTGTTACAAAGTAACTCCGTTAGCGGTATTGCTACACAGCCGTTAGAAAACAAGAAACACAGCACACAACAACTGTTTCAGCTGCCATGTCCTAGCAACGGCGGAGGGATATTAATCCCCTCCCTCCGCAACCCCGTCAAACTGCGACAAATACCAAACACAATAAAACCCAAAACAATATTAATTTACTACAACTATTCCATGGAAATGGCTTGTGTGCCACACTCTCCCCCTCAATAAAAAAAATGTCCTCTTTCATTTAAAAGAGCATTTATCATCACCTATTGACCCCTTTACTGGAAGTAATTTTGTAAGTGAGATACTTTACATGACATTCATATTATTATAATAGTGTCCACTACTAACAGAGGATATTGTCACTTTAGATTACAACTGTCCAGTTACAAATACTTCTAGATCTGTTCAAATCAGCTCTCTAGTGTAACAGAACCTTAATTTCAGCCACAGTTCTTTCATTCTGATAACAGTCTTTTGTCTTGAAAGCACAGTCAATGTATTGTCTTTGGAGAGTTCATACATGGTCCTTTTTCTTTTGAATGTAGTTCTTGAACCTATAGACATTGTGTCTTCAACTCTGTACTTCAACACCTGGAACTATCCAGGGTCGCCAAAGTTCTTTTCAGGTTGGAGTCAAACTTACAGGTTGTTCTTTAATGCCTACTTCCACCGTGGTTGGCTCACCCAAAGCACATTAGGTCAGCGTCCTCGGACGGCGGCGCTCTCTCTTTGGATAGCTCGATGTAGGCGGTGAGACAGCTGGATCATTTTCTTCCTCAGAACTTGTTTCTACAGATAGCTCAGGAAGATCCTGGTGCAGCTCCACCACGTCTTTGCCTCCATCCTCTTCTTCTGGTATGTTGTCCATCCATGTAACCTGAGGTTACATGGATGGACTGTGCTTACAGGCCTCTAGATGCAGAAAATCGACTGACACTAGTTCGAAAGGACGTGTTGTCACAATGGGCATCAGTGGCGCTCTGGCTGCTCTCTGTGGTCGTTTTGACTTTAGACTCACACACTTGGGTCACAAAATGTTCTGTGTCCTGCTGCATTCTGACCCAGTAAAACCTGCCTTGAATCAGATTCAGAGTCCTTTCGACCCCCAGATGACCCATCTCCTTGTGTAATTCTTGAAACACTAACCGATAGTGTTCTTTTAGCAAAACTAGCTGAGACTTATTTCTTGCTTTTCTGTATAAGATCTCATCATCGCTGATGTACAATTTTCGCCACTGCCTCAAGAGCACTGTATCTACCATGGATACAGTGGTCAGAGCAGAGGAAAGCCATCCCACTCTGTATCCAAACTGCAAATAAATAATATATTTCCAAAACTAGTGTTTATTGTTGCACTTAATAAACACTCGCTTCAATCACGCTCGGCTCGCTTTTCCAACTCCTAACTGGCCACCAGATGGGCTGTGTCTGAGTCAGATGGTTTTAGGCCTGAACACATAACTGTAACAAGGTTGTACCAACTGAGACGTTGTACCAATAGGTACAATATTACAGAACTATCCAAAATTTAAACAAAAATATCACAATTATATAGAGAACCCTAAGTTACCTTTTCAGATAATTTATCAGCACAACAGATTCGATTTAGGGGTTAGTTACACGTTAATCAACTGGAACTAATTTTAATCCAATAATATTTGACAATTGTTTGCAAAAAATATTTTTGCAAAACTGTAAGAAGGTTTATAATAAAATGATGAAACACCGCCAACATGTGACACTGAACAATCTATTTAAACTGTTTGGACTCTGTAACTCACCCAGTTCATTGAAGTGGACCCCTTGTTTCCAGTTACTAAGCCTGGTTCCAGTATGAGCACCAAGAGCCACATTCTCCATGTTAGGAAACAGATTGCTACTGGCCTATGTGTAACATAATAGTGCAAAAAACAGATGGTTTAGGGATTTGTTTTCATCCCTCTGTACAGTATGCATATCTGTGCTCTTACCTTTGCACATTGACCACTCTTGACATGAGGCAGACTGATGCATTGGGTAAGGGTATGGTAACTGGGGTTGGAAAAGTAGTTGCTGGGGTGGCCTTCATTTGATGGAGTGTAAGTATCTAAAAGGTAAAATAGGACAAAAAGTGTTAGCAGAGCTTTCTGCATAATTCTTTTGAGTTGGCTTCGAAACACATTTTGACTGTAGAGTTAAGAGGGCACAGTTTCATGGACAGAAATAGCACAAAAATGCTGGTTCAGGAGTAGTTTCTGCATTGAAAAAACTATGGCATGTTGTGACTACTGCCACAGTTGTGAAATGTCAGAACATGCCACTCATCAAGTATGTTGTGACGGCAGGTATCATGTATCAAAGCAATATGCTGTGATACATATGTACGAGGTATGGTAACTATTGTTACATAACATGCCGTCACAACATAATGTACCTGTAAACATATTCATGAGATGCTTGAAGTTTGTAGGTATCAAAAAGTAACTGAGCACTTCTTGGACATGTTTGATTATGTAGGACATACAATTACATTTGAATCAATATCCAACTTTAATTCACCTGCCATAGTATAATTAGATGTGACTCTGATAGCAGGAGTGTAGATAACAGCTGGCATGGTTGCCTCTTTACTCTTCTGTTTATTTCGGTAGATGATGAAAAGGGCCAGGGCAAGAAGTACCAAAAACACTAGAACTATGATTCCAGCAATGACTCCTATCTGGTAGGTATCTACATGTAAGGATGCGCTGGTCAAATTGTTGAAACTTCCAAACACCACTACACCACCTGCAAAGAGAAGAAGAAACAGTTTCATTTTATTTTTCAACCAAATAAGTCAGATGGAAACTACAACTTGAAGTGACCCAATTCCGATTTTTTTGTGTGAAATCGGATTTTTTTGCCATGGCTGTTCACATTTATAAAAAAATGCAATCTGTTTGTGTTCTGCAGTGTGAAAAGGCAAACAATCTGAACATGTCTTATATGCACAGTACAGGGCTCAATAGCGTTCTCCACTATGCTAACAGTGGAGCATAGTTTACACATTTAACGTTGTTGTCTGACTGGAGCAGCATATTAACAACTTAATCCTCATCTTGGTTGTTGCAACCAAGGACGCAGAATAGTGACATTTGTCGAATAGCAGTCACGTTCAGGTCAAAAGAGGTGAAATGACCCAAAGAGATTTTACTACAATTTATGGTATTCCTGAATATAGAAGCCTACTTTTTTATGTTTCTATTCTCACTTTAAAAATTATAGTTAGGAAGCGCTGATTCAATTAGTACGATTTGGTCATTATTGTCATTCAACCATGTTTCTGTCAGAAACATCAACATTATACTCAGTGATGAAAATCATTAATTAATAGAGCTTTAGCACAGAGAGATCTGGTATTTAAAAGAACTACTTTAAGTGACTTGGAGGCAAAAAGATTTTCAGTCTGAGGTTCCCTTAGGCAGGGAATCAGTCTGAGATTCGAATTAGGACCGCTGTATTTCATATTTCTGTTTTTTTGTCAATTTTCTTGTAGTGATCCGGACAGGTAATGTCCTGTTCTGCAGAACCCGGGGGCCAGACACATTCTGGATGGAGACAGGTGTAAAGATAATATTTGGTCCCTGGCCTCAGACCTCAGAAACGCAAAGTGATGGATCCTCTGGGAAGTCAGGAGCAGGTGGCTTAAATGTAGTGAGGTCTGCTACTGAGCGCTAAGAAGAGACGTGCCGAGGCGAACCTGTTGATTCATCCCATCTGTAAATTTAAGAAACTCTGGTCTGGAAGACGTTTCTTCATTGGTATCTATTGAATCCTGTGAATGATTGGAGGAGCAGAGAGGGAGGGGGGAAGCAGTCGCTCTGTCTCCAGTCGATTTATCAGCTTGTTTTGGAATATTATCCTCCTGATATGCAGCGGGCTCCATCCTAGTCAGACATCCTTGAGCCTGTTCTTCTGAAGCGGTGATCCTGTTGCTGTCCTTGTTGATAAAATAAAAAAGGTTTGCAGCGAGTAGCTTTATCCCATATTTATTAAGATTGCGTCCTCCTCTTCCAAAAAGGTGAAAGCGCTGCCAATACATCCAGAGGTTATCAATGAAGGTCACTGAGCTGGTAGAGCAGCTTTTAATCAGCCATTTGTTGATCGTGAGCAGACTGGAGTGTTTTTCGTCTCCCCATTTAGGTGATGGAATGGACCACTGAGAAATAACTTCATTTTTATATTTTCCATAGTGTTCAGAAGAATATTAAAGTCCTTTTTCAGAATCTCAGACTTTTGCTTTGCCAGATCGTTGGCTCCAACATGCACAACATTCTGATCAGTGAGAATAATAATTCAAAATATCTTGAGTTACATTTTGACTAGACAAAATTTCTTTCAAGATGTCTCAAATGACGTCACTGGATCTGTACTTTGACGAGACATGTATCTGGAAATGGTAAAATGGTAAATGGACTGAACTTATCAGTGCTTTTCCAGTCATTTTGACCACTTGAAGCGCTTTACACTAGAGTCACATTCATCCATTTGCACTCACAAACGCGCACACATTTATACACTGACATGCAGACCGGTAGGCGTAATTATCACCAGTCAAAATGACAATTTTAGATATCTCAATTAAGAATGACATGGAAGACCCTTTGTGCTGTCCAAACAGTTGCCTGCAGAAGTTTGTTTCCTGCAAAAAATTGTCCATAAATGGCACAAATTAGAAAGAGCTTGTCAATGTTGGAAATGCGGAGAACGCAAAACTTCCTAAACTATAAGACTGCTACTGATATCTGCAAAAAAATATCCTGTTTATTCATTTCCAATTAACCGAATGCACTAAAAAACAGCTTTGAAAAGCTGAAACTGCTATTGTCAATGCATTTTCAACATGAAAGTTGTGCATTTTCAGACATCTTTTTTTGTTTTTTCTATTTTTCATTGTTTTATTAAACTTTCAAATTGCCACGTAAATCAGTGACATTTTGACTAGACAGAATGCTAATTCAAGATATCTTAAATAGAAAAGTTGTCTGGCAAGCTGTTTTAACATAAATTTGGTTTCATCTGACTAACTGTAATTACATTCCAGAAATCTAAAAATGCAATTTGACTGGACAAAACTACATTTTGACTCTCCGGAATGGTACATATCTTCAATAGAAAAGTTGAATAATTCAAGATATCTCTAATTCATTTAGATATCTTAAAAGGAATTTTGACAAGTCAAAATTATAATTTAAGATTATCTCTAATTTAGTTTTCTCTAGTCATTATTTGCTTTTAAGATATCTATAATTTAATTTCCACTAGTCAAAACTGCATTTCTCCTATCCAAAATACATTTAAGATATCTTGAATTATGGACTATTTAGAGATATCTTTGATTAGAATTATGACTAATCAAAACTAAAATCAAGATATCTTGAATTTACTTTTTGAATAGTCATAATTTAATTGTAGATATCTGAAATGTGTATTTCAGATAGTCAGTAATTCATTGCAGATATCTTGAATTGAAGTCTCCATACAACTCAATGATAAATCTGACGTCATTTCGACTAGTCAGAATGTAATTAGAGATATCTTAAATTGTTAAAACGTCTAGTCATAAAACAATTTGAGATATCTGGAATGTAAGGGCAGTAAGACCGAATTTATGTTAAAACGACTTGCCATAGTGGGCTCACTGTAAAACAGTTGAAGCTAGTCCTTGCAGCACATTCTTTCTGTTGCCACTTTCAAGATGACTGTGATGTAAGTAGGACTCAGGGTATACATATTCATGCCTATTGTCCAATTAGCGATCTGTCAGGTCTCCAACTTGGACATACCCTTTCCGATTTGTTAATGTTGTAGTGCTTTAATATTTTGTATTTGAAATTGGAATTGTCCTTCGTTAATGTTGTGGTTCTGAATTTGCTGAGGTGGTGTCCACCTCAGGGCAACCGTAGCAATTAGGTGAACTAGTTTAGTTCTGAAGATGATGTAAAGCACTTTGAAATGCCTTGCTGCTGAAATGTGCTATGCAAATAAAATTTGATTTGATTTGATTTGAGATAAGATTAGTTTAGATAATACCGAGATGCAATAAACCCTAAGGTTTAACAAATTCCTCCATTAAATGTCACAAGCTCAGAGAACGTGCTGAGTGCACGAATAAGATCTGACAATGTTCTTGTTATGCAAAATTGTTCCATTAGCAAACCTGAGTCTTGAAACTTCCTTATTTTGAACAAAGAAGATGTTTATCATCTAAGCAATGAACTGATCCTTCAGTGAGGATGATGTTGCACTCTCCCTACCCTGATAAGAGTGACTGTGCATTAAACCTGTTCAACTGGACCTGGGTCTGAGCCAGGGACTGACCATATTGTGTGAGAGTCCTTCATATCGTGAGAGCTTGCAGCGCCAAGTCAGAACTCATTGCAGGTACAGCTGCTGTGCTGTGGCTGCTGTGTGTTCTCCGTTTGCAAATGATGAAATAAAAGATTTTGCTCTTTGCCATTTGCCAGAGTTTCAGCTTGATCTGTTCCACACAGATGTTTTTTGTCCACACAATCTCCAGTCAACCGGGTGTTGACAATATGATCAGGAAATATTTCACCTGTTTCAAATGTCTTGTGGCACTGAGCCATGCACTAAGCTTCGAGGTATTTATTTTTCGGGACGACGTTGGTGTTTCAGAAAGCTTTTTTTGCTGTGGCTGAACAGTTCATTCTTTCTGTGGGGAGAGAAAAAGCGAGCTGACACACAGTGTTGTTAGGATTTTAGTTGGTGTGAGTGTTCTTGCAATAGACGATCTTCATGGGAGCGCATCTGAAGCGCACCTGAAGCAGATCTCCTACAATGGGCGGCAGGATTCTTAAGGAGCGGTGGCGCAACCAGTCATCGCTCGATGGTCCCACTTGTTGGTCAGAGTCAAATCTAATGTCTTGTTAAGTCTCAGGTCCACAGAAGATCTAAATAAGCTGTGTGTGTTCTCCCACAGATTGATGACGTCTCGTTGGGATTCTGCCAGGAACTGCACCTGTCCTACTGCCAAGCTGACCACAGATTGACCGGAAACATCTGCCTGCTGCCTCGGCACCTAAAACCTTGCCGGACCTCCACACCAACAATTCCTTCCACCTCCCTCAGCAACTCTCCTTCCCCGACGAACTGTAAGCCTTCTCGCTCCCTCCTCTGCCACGATCCCGCCGTCCTCTCCTCTCTAAACCTCTACCCTCTCCGAGCAGCACCGAGCCGACCCTCTGTTTTCCAGCTCAGAGGACAACCCGGACTCACCATCCTTACAAAACATCTGTAAAATAAATCTTTTGAACTTTAATTCTCATGGCTTGTTGTTTGAAGCCTGCATGTGGGTGAAAAAACTCAAATCCAACATGACAAGTGTGACCAGGTGCCTATGGGGGAATTTTACTGCCATAAGCAGTGAGCAAAAGCTTTTCAGTTTGAAGGCAGGGTTTAATTTCTTTGTTCTCCAAACTTGTAATACTTACACTCAAAACTTGCTCTCTTTCAAATATTCTGTGTGCTTTCTCAAATCTTTGTTCACAGTGGTCTTCTGAAATAAGATTTGTTTTCTACTCACGCACAAAGCTTCTCTCTACAGATCATCTTTCCACTCGCAAACATCTCAGCTCACTTGAAAATTCTTTTCTGCTCTCTCTTACCAGACAAGTACCATTGTCTGGTAACTGTTCCAGTCAATAATGACAATATTATACTGGGCAGTGGGAGCCTCCTGTGGAGTGTGTTTGTTCTCTTCTAGAAGGTGTGCCTGTGTGGTTACTATCAATTTTAGAGCCTGCTCTTTCTGCACTGCCCGGTGGATGTAGTACATTTAAGGAGAAATATTTCCAGCATACAATATGATTTCAAAACAATGGTTATTGAATTTCATCAGTTTAATGTTTTTTTATTATCTATCTGTGAGTTAGGGCCAGAAATATTTGGACAGTGACACAGGTTTTGTTATTTTAGCTGTTGACAAAAATATGTTCAGAAATACAATTTATATATAATATGGGCTGAAAGTACACACTCCCAGCTGCAATATGAGAGTTTCCACATCCAAATCGGAGAAAGGGTTTAGGAATCATAGCTCTGTAATGCAGAGCCTCCTCTTTTTCAAGGGACCAAAAGTAATTGGACAATGGACTCCAAAGGCTGCAAGTAACTCAAAAGGCCTTTCCCTCGTTAACCTGTAATCAAGTAAGTAGTTAAAAGGTCTGGGGTTGTTTCCAGGGTGTGGTTTGCATTTGGAAGCTGTTGCTGTGACCAGACAACATGCGGTCAAAGGAGCTCTCAATTGAGGTGAAGCAGAACATCCTGAGGCTGAAAAATAGAAAAAATCCATCACAGAGATAGCAGACATGCTTGGAGTAGCAAAATCAACAGTCTGGTACATTTGTGGAAAAAGGAATTGACTGGTGAGCTTGGGAACTCAAAAAGGCCTGGGCGTCCACGGAAGACAACAGTGGTGGATGATCGCCGCATACTTCCTTTGGTGAAGAAGGACCCGTTCACAACATCAACTGAGGTCCAGAACACTCTCAGGGAAGTAGGTGTATCTGTCTCTAAGTCAACAGTAAAGAGAAGACTCCATGAAAGCAAATACAAAGGGTTCACATGTAGATGCAAACCATTCATCAATTCCAAAAATAGACAGGCCAGAGTTAAATTTGCCCAAAAACACCTCAAGAAGCCAGCCCAGTTCTGGAAAAGTATTCTATGGACAGATGAGACAAAGATCAACCTGTACCAGAATGATGGGAAGAAAAAAGTTTGGAGAAGAAAGGGAACGGCACATGATCCAAGGCACACCACATCCTCTGTAAAACATGGTGGAGGCAACGTGATGGCATGGGCATGCATGGCTTTCAATGGCACTGGGTGACTTGTGTTTATTGATGACATAACAGCAGACAAGAGTAGCCGGATGAATTCTGAAGTGTACCGGGATATACTGTCAGCCCAGATTCAGCCAAATGCTGCAAAGTTGATCAGACGGCGCTTCACAGTACAGATGGATAATGACCCCAAGCATACAGCCAAAGCTACCCAGGAGTTCATGAGAGCAAAAAGGTGGAATATTCTGCAATGGCCAAGTCAGTCACCAGATCTTAACCCAATTGAGCATGCATTTCACTTGCTCAAATCCAGACTTCAGACGGAAAGACCCACTAACAAGCAAGACCTGAAGGCTGCGGCTGTAAAGGCCTGGCAAAGCATTAAGAAGGAGGAAACCCAGCGTTTGGTGATGTCCATGGGTTCCAGACTTAAGGCAGTGATTGCCTCCAAAGGATTTGCAACAAAATATTGAGAAAAAACTTTTTTGTTTGGGTTATGATTATATGTCCAATTACTTTTCAACTCCTAAAATGTGGAGTGTTTGTAAAAAAATTTGTTCAATTCCTACATTTTCTATCACATATTTTTGTTCAACCCCTTAAATTAAACGTTACAATCTGCACTTGAATTCTGTTGTAGAGGTTTCATTTCAAATCCAATGCGGTGGCATGCAGAGCCCAACTCACAAAAATTGTGTTACTGTCCAAATATTTCTGGCCCTAACTTGTATATACACACTGTCGTGAAAACTGGTATGAGGAGGTGAAATCTGTCCAGGTTCATGCAGAAAACAGATCATAATGGGCCTGAGATACTGAAGTAATCTTGCATGCTGATTTAATGTTGATTATGGAAAAATTTATTATGTTGAAGTATTGGTGATTATGAAGTAAGTAAATTCTGAAGTTGATTGTCAATAATTATATGAATCAGTTAAACAAGGGATCACAAGTTGAAAGAATAAATACTGAATCAAAAGTAATGAGTATTAAGGAGTAATGATTGAAGAAATGTATTAAAGTGATTATGTTGATGAGTTATAAATCTGTATAACATAAAATACTGAAATCAAAATAATAAAAAGCATAGGGACGGTCTGGATAGTAGGTAGTTAGAGCTAGACGAGTCTCTCGACACCAGCTTAGACTGGTTGTTCTTCTCAGACCTTCTGCAGGGTAATACCCAGGTTTCAGGAACTTCCCGGACCCGTTAGACGGAGAGCTGGTCAGTAGACAGCCCAGAGGAGTTGTGAGGTTTAGGGCGGGGCTGGCGATTGCGTAATAACCAACAACACACACAGTTGGGCATTCATTGTTTTCTAGGTTACTTTTGAATTCCTGTGGTTTGTTGGCAAATGTTTGAGTGTGCCCAGGCCTGATACACTGTACTTGATGCTAGAGTGGCTAACACGAGTAACTGTTTAATCCAAAGCCTTATCTGCTAAAATAAAATCTTTAATGTATATCAGATACACATTGCATATTGATCTGTTTAGCTAACGTAAGACTGTGTAGCAGACAGGCTTCAAGGTGTAGAATTAGTATACTGCATACTGCCGTTATGCTATACGTAGCTAAACGATGTTCATGATGGGTGAGTTTATTATTGATTTTCTTTTTTTCAGACAGTCAGAAATCAAATCAATAATACTTACACCAGCACTTCTTGTTGATCCTACGAAGGTTGAGCTGCTCATGCAGTTTTCAAAAGGGTTTTCTGTGTATTAAAGACTTAATACACAGAAAACCAGAACTTCACACCCCCTGCTAAACACAAAACCCTTCTATGAGAAAACATGAGAGGTTTTTTTATTGGCGTGTTTCCATTAAGGGAATTTATATTCATAATTTTTATTTGCGCAACTTTATAGAAGTGCAGGTATTGTGCCACTAAGGTTTCTTTTTAGATACACAGATCATACATTTAAAAACATGTTTAAAAAAAAACAACTAAAAAACTGTCCATTGTTTTATGATGATCTTGTAGTGTTAAGACATGCTAATAATGTCCTTACTTTTCTGACAGGAGATGCCCTTGTATCCAGGTGCACACTCACAGGTTCCTTTGTCTGGAGAACAGGAGGTCCCATTCTTACAATTACATGGCAGCGAACAGTTTGGCCCCCACCATCCTTCTGCACACACACTGTCGCAGTGACCTGTCCACACACAGTTACAATTCTGTTACATTTCATAGTTGGTCTCACCTCAACATAGGTTCAATAAAGTGCACCAAAACATGGGGAAAAAAAAAAAACCTGACTGATGCTCTGATGGTGTATGACGCTAACGGGGAATTTTTTTCGGTCTCAGCTGCTCTCAAAAGAAACGATTGTTCAGATTCTACAAGCTTTTTCAGGCTTTAACATGAACAGCAGTCAAAATAAAACATTTCTAAAACATTTGACATTTTCATAATTTAATTTTCAGTCTTATACTAAGTGGTTCGCCTGCTGAACCTGAGCTGAAAAAGGAGTCCTGTGGGACACCAGAAGCCGCTGATGGGTACCAGCAGTGCAAACGGCATGTGGGTGGTTGCTGAGACAAAAACTCAGGCCTAAGAGGAGTTTGAAGGGGCCATAAAGAAAGATTTTTGCCCAAATTACCAGCAAAAGCAGTAGAGCACCAACATTGTTTATAATAGGGATGATGCGCTGCTGACCTCAACTCGGGATGTTGTGAGCCTGTAGGCAGAATACTTCGAAGACCCCTCAGTTCCACCAGCATGCCTTTCATTTAGGAAGTGGAGCTTAGGGACTTTGGGTTGAGCTCACCAACCTCTGGTGTTGAGGTAGCCAAGGTGGCAAGGCCCTGGGGGTGGATTAAATTTGCCCAGAGTTTCTTGAAATTCTGGATGTTGTAAGGTTGTGTTGGTTGACGTTGCTCTGCAGTATTATATGAATATCAGGGACATTTGCCCTGGACTGGCAGAATGGAGTGGTGGTCTCCCTTTTATAAAAAGGTCCACCACCCCCTCCAAACACAGAGGGGTAACTCTCTTAAGTGTCCAAGGTAAGGTTTATTCAGGGGTTCTGGAAAGGAGGGCCCGTCAGATAGTCAAACCTCAGCTTGAGGAAGAACAGTGTAGGGTTTTTTCAGTTATGGAATGCTGGACCAGCTGTACACCCTCAGCAGGGACCTGGAATTCACCCAACAGGTCTATATGTGTTTTGTGAACTTGGTGAATGCACTTGACTGTGTCTCTCGGGGAACCCTGTAGGACAGGGGTGTCAACATCCAGTCCTCGAGGCACGGTGTCCTGCAACTTTTAGATGTGCCTCTGCTGCACCTGAATAGAATAATTAGGTCATTAAGGCTCTGGAGAACTTATCTACACAAGGAGGAGGTAATTAAGCCATTTCATTCCTGTGTTTTGTATCTGTGGCATGTCGAAAAACTGCAAGACAGTGGCCCTCGAGGACTGGAGTTTGACACCCCTGCTGTGGGAGGTGCTCCTGCATTGCGGAGTACTGGGCTCTTTGATGCAAACTGTTAGTTCCCTGTATGACATGGGTCAGAGCCTGGACCATATTGCCAGGAATAAGACAGCCAGGTTTCCGTTGAGAGTTGGATTCAACCAAGACTGCCCTTTGTCACTGATTCTGTTCATTAGTTTTTATGGACAGAATTTCTAAATGGAGCAAGGTGTTCAGGGGATTCATTTTGGTGGATCCCTGAACACAGATATGCCTTAGGATTGCATCTTTATTTTTTACAGATGATGTGTTCCTATTGGCTTCATCAGGTCGTTATCGCTGGAGCGATACGCAGCCGAATGTGAAGCAGCTGGGATGAGGATCCGTTCCTCCAAAGGCAAGGTCATGGTCTTGAGCCAGAAAAGGGTAGACTGCCTTCTCCAGCTTGGGTAGGATGTCCTGCCCCAATAGGAGGAGTTCTTGTTCAAGCGGGCTCTTGTTCACGACTAAGGGAACATTTTGCAGGAGATTGATAGGCGAATTGACGCAATGTCTGCACTGAAGTGGATGCTGTACTGGTCTGTCATGGTTAAGAAAGAGCTGAGTCAAAAAGCCTAGCTCACAATTTACCAGCTGATCTATGTTCCTACCCTTATCTATGGTTAGGATGCCTCCTGGATGCCTGGTAAGGTGTTCTGGGAACATCCCACTTGGGAGGAGATCCAGGGGAAGTCTCTCCATACTCTGGAGAGACTGTTTCTCTGCTGACCTGGGAACACTTTAGGATTCCCCTGGAGAAAGGGAAGTCTGAGTCTCCTTATTTGGGCTGCTACCCCCACAACCCAACTTTGAATAAGTGTTAGAAATGGACAGATATGTGGAAGTTTGCTGGGATTCAGAAAAACATAAGCCATTGTGCACATCACTGAAATGGGAGGGTGGACCTAATCTGGGAAGAAGTGGGCTTACAATTTAAATGAGATCATTGTGTCATCTAACCACCGACTTTAAATGCCTTGCCGTTCCGTTTTTAAATGTTTATTTTCTTATTGCAGTTACCTTAAAAATAAGATTTCCAATGAATATAAAATGAAAATGTTGAAATATTACAAACTTCACCTGCAAAGTTTGGTCCTGCAATATATTTACTAATTAAGGGATTGAGCTGCAATCCAACATAGATGGTGTGTTGATGGTGTTGCGATCCAACACGCTCATCGGTCAATGGGCAAAGGCAGGGTACACATTATAAACAGGTCATCAATCCATCACAGGGTAAATAAACACACCATGCATGAATCATGTATTCACTGGTCATTGTTTCATAAACCTTTCATTCTTTTTCTTATTACCATTATCTCTTCTGTCCCTTTCTCCTCACCTGGTGTACAGGAACAGGATCCATCAACAGGGGAGCACTGCACTCCATTCTTACATTTGCAGGTTGCAGAACAGTTTACTCCATATGCCCCAGCTGGGCATGGGACTGCACACTTGGAACCCTGGAAAATCGAATGGATGAACAGAGGCTCTGAGTGCAAAAACTCTCAATACCAATTTTACTTAGTTATTTTTAAAATAACAGATCAATTTGTCAAGGTTTGGTTGTTCAATGCAGCCAGTGGTTTTTCTATTTTTTTTAGTGCAAAAAGGTGTGAAATTTGTCTGTTTAAAATTATTGTAACTGCACCATAAAATGTTCTCTTTTGGAAAGTCTGTTTACTTCTCTATAGATTGTGGTAGATTTGTAAGGAAACTTAATCTGTGGGTTGTGCCTATGAAAAACATCTCTGCTGATGCTTAGCAGTTTATTGTACCAATGACCCCTATTTGATGTGGTTTATGGGATGGAATGTTTGAACTTGAAGAAACAAAATACACTGATAACGTAACTGGTAAAACCGCAACCAACTGCCACAGTTGATTGCTGTTGGTCTTTATGAGTGCTCACACACTGCTGTGGGATGGCATCCATTATTCTTTGAGCTGGCAAATCGCATCTGGATAAATATGTCTGGATAAATTTAGCTTCTAATGATGACAAACTTTGTTTTTCCAATTCATTTTATTTCTGTTTAATTATATAGCATCAAGTCACATCAAATATCACAAAGCACTTTCCAAAGAAGTCATTTCCATTCAATCACACTTATAATCCTATTGATTATCAATTGCTATGGGTGAGCACATAGATGCAGTGTACTTTTTTCTTTAACTTGAGTGATATTATTATTGCTGTGTAGCTTCATCTTGCATTTAAAGAAATAGACTTCAGAGATTAGAAATATTGGATTCTAATATTTCTGCAACATATAAGCTGTTTATGCAAATGTGAACATAATTACTCAACATATTCTATGTTTATCCTTATTGTTTATTTTGTATTAATAAACATGTTCATTTTATCTGAAATGTTACATAAATGTTTATTGATGTATTTATATTAAAGTAGAGTGATTGCTTATCCTGTCTCCCCAAAGTAAGCCAACATCCCTCCTGTCATGAAGTGCGGTTATGAGGTGGTGAGGTAGATGCGGTGAACTCAGGTATGAAGAGTAAATGATGGTTTAATGAGAAAACAAATATCCAGGCAACACAGGTGAGTAACAGAAATAAATCTGACACTGGTAGCAAGTGGAATTTACAAAGGACTAATGATTTAATACACAGAAAACCAGAACTTCACACCCCCTGCTAAACACAAAACCCTTTTACGAGAAAACATGAGAGGTTTTTTTATTGGCGTGTTTCCATTAAGGGAATTTATATTCATAATTTTTATTTGCGCAACTTTATAGAAGTGCAGGTATTGTGCCACTAAGGTTTCTTTTTACATACACAGATCATACATTTTTCCCTTTTTTTCTCTTTGTCTTGATATACTCCCAGTATTTTTTTGTCATACAGCACTTTTGAATTTCATCTATGAAAGAAAATTCCTGACCATAATTAACATAAATATGATGTTTCACTCAGGGATATGTGAAATGCAGGAAAGAACATGTCAGGACAGATAAACTGTTTGGCTTGGCAGTGGTATTTTAGAAGAAAGTTTTTATTTGTCTGCATAGTGAAAATAGCAAAGATTAGATTAGAACAATTAAACTGCTTTATTCACAATCCTTAATAATTTTAACTTTATAATGTAAACTAATATGCTTTAGGAGTATATTTAAAATTTTCAACAGACTACTGTGTGATCTATTTTTTTAATTTTTTAGTGTCATAAGTCTTAACTGTAAAGTTCGCTTGTATGTATCAGTGTCTACACATACATATAATTCAGGATGTACTTAAATTAATACATGTACATGCAACAAATTAATTTACCATAAAGCCAGGAGCACAGATACATTCTCCAGTCACACTGTGGCAGTTAGCTCCATTCTGGCACTGACACAAGTCACTGCAAGATTTGCCATAAAATCCTGGTGTGCACGTCTCATTGCAAAAGAGTCCTGACCAACCAGCCTGACATGTGCACTCCCCTGACACTGGGTGGCATCTATTGGAAAAGAAAACATGACATAATCACAAAAATTTACTTCACTGTTAGAGTATTAAATTGAACTGCTTTCCACAGTTTTACCACAGAAAAAATGGTTAATGGTACAGTTAAGTCCTATATTTTTTACACTCCTAACAAAATAATCTTTTAATTTTAGTAACATGTCTCCCCTGAATAGAAGTTAATGGCCTACACACCAGGCTCTTAAAATATAGAAAAATAACATAGGGTGTTATCACTTCAAAGTTCTCCCACTTCCTTCAATATAAAATCTAACTTCCAGAAAAGTTTGTTTTCTAAACTGACAAAACCAACATTTGTAAGCTTTACAAATTGAGATACCTGACAGGCAGTCTATGTCAATTAAATAATTAATAATTATCAACGTATCCCTCCCTGCCAATGAATGATGAGGTAGGTGCCATCCTCCCAGCTACCCTGCGAGTAATAAGTGCATTTGTGAGTGGTTTGATAATGTTTCATGATTTTACTAACTCGGGTGTACTTTACAATTCTTAGCAAATTTAGAATTCAGTAACAGCAATGTTAAAAAAATGGAAGAGAGGCCTTACATAAGTCATCTTGTTGATGGGGATTCTCTGCTTGATTTCTATTTAATACATAGACTTTGACTGAAAATATCAAATTGTCATTTTTTTAATTGCTTAGTGGGCACAAGATTCTAACTTTTCTTTTTTTCAAAAGATATTAGTTGTTTGAATTACTCAACCTTTGTGTGGACATCCAGCATACAACAAGCCAGTCAATTTAAGACTTTTCTACGCCATTCCTGAATAGTTTATTACATATTCCTTAAAAAAAGTATATTTTTTTTCTTCCTTTTAAGAGATAGACAACTTAACGACTTTAAAACAGCTGACCTGCAGTGTGCAAATGGTGAGGGGGCAGATAGAAGAGTTTTCTCATTTTAAAACAGCCTTTTTTAAACTACACCATACCTTTATGTGGAACGAGCTGTAACAAACCCACAAATATTTCTTACTCCACTATTTAAATATTTTGGGTACAACTATGTATGACTTTTCTTGTTCACTGTGTTTTTCAGCAAACCACACAGCTTGAATCTGTTCTCGACAATCTATTGTTACTCACCATGCCAGTAACAAATTTATGAAGACATTCCTCTTTCACTTTTGATTCTTTGACTGTGATAGTGAGAAATAAAATCCAAGATAATTTCACTTTGTTGAAACTGCTACAATCTTCATTTAATGGAATATATTAAAGTTTCAAATCAAATCACTACTGTCCAGTTTATTAAAAAATAGAAGAAAAAAAAATAAGCTTACAGAAATTTAATTTTTTTTGGATTTAACTTGTCTGGTAAATCCAATTGTGTGTGTTGGAGTAGAACTTTAAGCTACATAAAAGACAAATTGTGACAAACAAAATTAAAACAGTCATCATTAGACTGTTCATAAGAATTAATAAAGCCAATCTGCTTTATTTTCTGATTAAGCAGACTGAACTTAAAAAAGTAATCTCCTGGTACTTTCTTGGAAGATTGTCTTCAAAGTTGAAACACATGCATTTACAGAAAGTTTTTGTTTTATTTTGTTTTGTTGTTTTTGCTTCCCAGTATAATAGATCAAGCTTTACCTTAAGTAACACTTGCAGAACCTTTGTAAGTGCAGAAGAGATCCTGTTTGCATGTCAGTTAGTAAATCAAACCCATCAACGAACAGCCACCTGTGCTTGTGTGACTGACATATTACAGTCACACTAGTTAAGTACCGTATTTTCCGGACTATAATTCACGGTTTCTTAACATGTTAGCATGTTATTTATGCTACAGTTGTTTGAATAACTCTTAATATGTTATGCTAACATACCAGGCACGTTCCCAGTTTATTGTTGTCATGTAACGTTAGCATATCGTACTGTTAGCCTCTATTCTATTTTTATTGCATTTCAAGAAGACCTGTCTGTTCTTGGTGTTGGATTTTATCAAATAAATTTCCCTCAAAAATGCGACTTATACTCCAGTGCGACTTATATATGTAATTTTTCTTCTTTATTTTGCATTTTATGGCTGGTGTGACTTATATTACAGAGCGACTTATAGTCCGGAAAATACAATACTGGACTTGGAAACTTGCTTTTTCCCCTACATATTAAAATTCTATACTGATTCATACACATATAACGTAGTAGTGAGTATTCAGGAAAGTAGAAAATTAATTGTTTAAATCTGTTTGTTCTTGCACAATAAAGTTTGTTAAAGTCATTTACAACATACCTTAGAGTTCTTGGGACGTGGCATGGACAATTCTTTTTGCATCTTAAACCATAACGGTTTTCAGGACACAAGCGGATATCACATTTTTCTCCTGTGTGTCCGGCATCACACAGGCACGTTCCGTTGATATGAACGCACTTACTGTTGTTCATACAGTGACAGGTCTTTGCACAGCCAGCACCAAAAGTACCAACTGGACACTCATCCTGGCACCTGTTATCAGTAAGACAGAAATATGTCAATGAAAATAGATTTAGAAATTTAGTACAAAAGTTCTGAGTATAGGTCCCCGACCTTGTAAAACAATCTGGTTCTTTGAGACTTACAAAAAAAATCTGATCTCATTTCTGCTAAGCAAAGGCCGCTCACCTTTGTACTTCAGGAGATTTGAAGAAGGAAAACTCAGCCCGCTCCAAGTAGAGTTGGGCCATATATTATCATTTGTGTTAATACAGGTAAAAAAACAACAACAAATACTTGCACAGGAAAATACATTTTATCGTGACATGCTTATTTCATGGTGTAAATACATCATCCCACCACACGTGCAGTGATATTGAAGTTGTAAAGGTGAAGGCAAATGTTGCTGAATCGCCATAAAAACAAAAAAATTGGTCAGCTGGTTTACAGTATGGTTGAACTGAATTTGACTAAATCAGCTGATGTCTGCGATATGGATATACATTTCAGCTCTGTGTCAACTCACCTCTCCTCTCCACATGAAAAGAATGAATCAATCAGCCACACGCAAAACTTTCTGAAAAACTGACGTCTTCCCAAAAAATAAATAAATAATTTGAATCTTTGCACAAAGTTCAGGGCCACAAAGCAATCTGAAACAGGAGAAATATCTCCTTATTGTTTTGTCCACACCCGGTTGACTGAAGGTGCAAGGATACAATGCTTCACAGAAACATAGAGAAGAAACTAGCTAATTGCAGTCAGTTACACCTGCTAACTTATAAAGAATTAAATAAATCAGTGCAAGTGAGGATTTGATGTGCTAATTGCTCTGTGACCTGAATCAGATATTCCTTTAGGAAAACAATGAAACAAACTTCACACATTATTGGTAATGTAATAAAAATTGCAAAGTCCAAACCTAGGACCCCTCTTGTTCAATATTTATATTCTCCCACTAGCTAACCATCAACAACATTGATGATGGTTAGCTGTTAAAAAACGTGCTGCCAACTACTTCTAGACGTCTTCAAAGTAAAAATTTGGGAATTTAAACTAAATAATTTTTAGTTTCTAAATCACATGACAAGTTCAACAATAGACAGTAGAACTGAACAAATTTGATGTTACAATGATTGACATACAAATATTGTAAATTATATTCAATTGTGTTCAAACTCAATCATATTTTTATGATTCAACATAGAAATATGTTTCACAATTACTATTGTTCTGTTTACTGTGAATAAAAGCAAAAATATATATATGTTTCTCCTATTTTTTCCATTTCACCTTACTTACAAGGTTCCTGTGTATCCTGGTGAACAATTGCATTCTCCAGTGACATGATGACAGATGGCCCCATTTTGGCATTGACATGTCCATTGACACCCATTTCCATAAGAGCCACTTTCACATTGGGCCTCACAGCGCCAGCCTCTGTATCCAGGAGTGCAGATACAGGATCCAGTGATAGGGTTACATAGTGCTCCATTCTTACATTGACATCTATTGCTGCAGTGGGGGCCCCAGTGATCACTGTCACAAGCTGCAGAGAAGATAAAAATAATCAGGATATAGGCCTTCCTCTAATATGTATGCTGGTTATTCATTAACATCTCTAATTTGCTCCTAAGTGTCAAGAGGAGCAAAAAGATAACTTAAGAAATGATGAATGTTTCTTAAAGTAATGCCCAGAGACATTTAACAAATTCAAATAAATACCCAACTGGCCCTTTGCAGAACTTCAACTTCAGTATAAAACTTTAACCCTCTAGCTGGAATTAATGAGAAGGGAAACTGTATCAACAACATTAAGTGGGGGAGTAAGTTTTAAAAGATATGGCTACTGAGTGCTACTACTTGCAACAAATGATGTTGGAAATAGATATTAGAGAACTACAGTAACATTTACAAGACATCAACAGGTATTCTGTTGGGTTTTGCAGGGGAGTGGTTTTCTTCTCCTTCACAGGGAGGCAGGCTGATGAAATCCAGCTGTTACTCATCACCTCCAATTTGCAAGGTCGGCTTCCCAGATTCAGATGCCAGATGGTTCCGCTTCTACTGTGCGAACCCATGCTGAACACCCTCTGAGACAAACTCACCTGAAGAATCTGATCCTCGCTGCTCCACTGGGCCTTGCACCTGGATACGTCACCAGGTGCAAGGTGCAGCAGCTGTTACAGCTGCTGCCTGTCCGCCCTCAGGCTCCTGCAGGAACCTCTCCATCTGGAAACCACCACACCACGCCAACTGCTGGAACTCCCAAGTACTCCCCTCTGCCTACCTCTACCTACTGACCGTAAGCTCCCTTCAGGTTATCCCTCGTTCCCTTCATTACTTCACTCTTTAACCGCTTCCTCTTTCAGTTTCCCCGCTGACCTCATCCCTCCCTGCGGTCGCAGATCTACGTCCCTCCACACACTTCCCTGTTTAATAAATTTGTTAAAACTGTTTGAGTGTCCATAGTTGTTGCTTGCCTTAGAGTCCTGGAAACCTCACATTATGACAGAACCATCTGGCCAATCGGACTCTGCAGCACAACTACGGACCACTCTGTCTGAACAGGGCATCCTCTTGGGTTGGCATGACACCGCAATTAATGGCATGCTGCATCAGCAGAACTCCCTACTCCAGTACTTACACCAAATGGCTAATCAGATCCAGGTTTTGCAGGACAGGGTTACCCCTGCTAACCCGCCTCCGGCTCCTGCTCCAGACCCCGCTCCGGCCCCAGCTGTTGCTGCCTCTGCTCCTCCACTGCACCGTGATGTCATCATGCCTATTCCAGAGCCGTACTCAGGTGAGCTGGGGAAAAGCAAGGGGTTCCTGCTGCAATGTTCACTGGCCTTCTGCCGCTCTCCCCGTTCATTCCCGGATGATGCCAGCAAGATTTCTTTTATAGTGGGATTATTAAGAGATCGAGCGCTTAGGTGGGCAGAGATCGTAGGACGAAGAGAGTCTCAGCAATACAGCCTTTGATGAATTCATAGACCTCTTCAAACAGACATTTTGTCCCAAGCTTGGGGAGGAAGCTGGCTCTAAAAGAATTTGTGATTTAAGACCCCAGCGTTTAAGGCTGGGGTCCAGCTGAAACGCCCCTTCAGCTGGACCCCAGAGGCCCAACTCGCTTTTGATGAGCTAAAGAGATCTGTGGCAGATTTTGCCGTTGAGTTTCGCACCCTCGGTACGGAGGCAGGCTGGAATAAACCAGCTCTTAAAGGAGCCTTCCAACATGCCCTAAACGAAAGATTAAAGGATGAGCTGGCGTGCCGAGACGAACCTGACTCCCTGGACGAATTAATTAGCTTGGCCATCAAGATCGATAATCGACTTAGAGCTAGACCCCGATCCTCGAATCCCTGGCCTTATCAGTCGTCCTTTAGAAGGGTTTCTCCCAGCCCAGACTAACCCAGTTCTCCCATCCATAACCTACCTGAACCCATGCAGTTAGGCCGAGCCCGGCCAACCCCAGAGGAACAGCAGCGCCGTTTAGCCTCAGGTAGTTGTCTTTACTGTGGCTCCCCTCAACATTTCATCTCAGCCTGCCCGACTCGCCCAAACGCCCAGGCCCGCCAGTAAGTCTGGGGGTCCTGGCGGGCAGCTCTAAAGAAGATAATCACCTCCGGCTAAATCTCCCTGCTATTCTCACCATCCAGCAGGATTCCTATCCCTTCCACGCTTTGGTAGACTCTGGTTCAGAGCAGAATCTCATACACCCTGACTTAGTTTGCGCAATATCAGATCCCAGTCCAGGCATTACCTTCTCCCCTGCGGGTGGCTGCCTTAGATGGTAGTTCCATGGCCAACATCACCCATCAAACTGACCCTATTTCCCTCCACGTCTCAGGGAACCACCGGGAACTCATTCAATGTTTTGTGTTTCCTACTAAAGATGCACCACTGGTTCTTGGGTTCCCCTGGCTCCGCAAACACAACCCCCATATTAACTGGGCCAATGCTCGCATCGACTCATGGAGTCCTTACTGTCTAAACCAATGCCTGCAATCTGCTAAACCGGCTCTGCTATCTGTGACACCCCAAATGTTCCTAGTGAATACCATGACCTCCATCGGGTTTTCAGTAAGGATCTCGCCCAGTCTCTTCCTCCTCATCGTCCCTATGACTGCTCTATCGACCTCCTTCCGGGAGCCCCTCTTCCCTCCAGCCGGTTGTTTAACATCTCTAAGACAGAGAGGGAGGCGCTGGAGCAGTACATTAATGACTCACTTAAGGCTGGTCTCATTCGTCATTCTTCTTCCCCCCTGGGCGCAGGATTCTTCTTTGTATCGAAGAAGGATAACACTCTCCGGCCCTGTATTGATTATAGAGGGCTTAATCAAATCACTGTTAAGAATAAATATTCTCTCCCTTTGTTGTCCTCAGTTTTTGAAACGGTTCACCAAGCCTCCATCTTCTCCAAGCTCGACCTGCACAATGCGTATCATCTCATTCGCATTCGAGAGGGTGATGAATGGAAGACCGCATTCAAAACCCACATTGGTCACTTTGAGTATCTGGTGATGCCCTTTGGCCTTTGCAATGCCCCCACCACTTTTCAGAATCTGGTTAATGATGTCCTTCGGGACTATCTCAATGTGTTTGTTTTTGTCTACCTTGACGACGTTCTCATCTTCTCCAACAGCATGGATGAACACTGCCGGCATGTCTGGCAATCCATCTGTCAGGCAGCAATCCTCCAAAGGTTGCTGGAAAACCAGCTCTTCGTCAAGGCTGAGAAGTGTCAATTCCATGTTACATCCATCACCTTTCTCGGTTTTGTGTTTGAGGGTGGACAGGTGAAGACGGACCCGGCCAAGATCCAGGCTGTTGAGGAGTGGCCAGTTCCAAACTGCAGAAAGCAACTCCAGCGCTTCCTGGGGTTTGCTAACTTTTACCGGCGGTTCATCAGAGACTTCAGTGTTATCGCTACCTCTCTCACCACTCTGACCTCCACCAAACGCCCCTTCAGCTGGACCCCAGAGGCCCAACTCGCTTTTGATGAGCTAAAGAGAAGGTTTGTGGATGCTCCTATTCTCATTCACCCTGAACCTTCTGCTCAATTTACAGAGGAGGTGGATGCATCTGAGACCGGTGTGGGGGCCATCCTGTCCCAGCGCTCTTCCAAAGATGGCAAGCTCCACCCATGTGCCTTCTTCTCTAAGAAGTTCACCCCCACCGAAAGCAGGTACGACATTGGTGATCAGGAGCTCCTGGCCATCAAAGTGGCTCTTGAGGAGTGGAGACACTGGCTCGAGGGTACTGAGCTCCCAGTCATTGTTTGGACGGACCATAAGAATCTGGCTTACCTTCAGTCCGCCAAACACCTGAACCCACGCCAGTTCCGTTGGTCCCTCTTCTTCTCCCGTTTCAACCTCAACATTACCTATCGCCCGGGGTCCAAGAACACTAAGCCTGATGCCCTCTCCAGACTCCATTCTCCAGATGACCCATCTGGGATCCCTGGATCCATTCTCCCAGCCTCCTGCACCATTGGGTCCCTCACCTGGGATGTGGAAAGAGCCATCCAAGAGGCTCTAACAGCCGTTCCAGACCCAGGAGGTGGCCCCCCCAACCGGCAGTACGTCCCTGCCTCGGTCCGAGGTCGTGTCATCCATTGGGCACATTCCTCCAGCTTCTCAGGTCATCCTGGGATAAGCCGTACCATTGGCTTCCTGCGTCGCTACTTTTGGTGGCCTGCACTCAACAAGGACGTCATTGAATATGTGTCTGCCTGTTCCACTTGTGCTAGGAACAAGACCTCTCATCGCCCACCTTCTGGTTTGTTACAACCTCTGTCTATTCCCAGTCGCCCCTGGTCCCACATCTCCCTGGATTTTGTTACTGGTCTCCCCACATCCAAACAAAAGAGTGTCATCCTCACCATTATAGACCGCTTTTCCAAGGCTTGTCATCTGATCGCCCTCACTAAGCTCCGTTCCGCCACCGAGACAGCTAAACTTCTCTTTCACCACGTTTTTCGCCTTCATGGTATCCCCAAACAGATTGTCTCTGACAGGGGGCCTCAGTTCAGTTCCCAGCTCTGGCGGAACTTCTGTTCTGTGCTTGGGGCCCGGCCGTGTTTGTCTTCGGGGTTCCATCCTAAAACCAATGGGCAATGTGAACGGCTAAACCAGGAACTGGAAAACACCCTGCGCTGTCTCTGTGCCTCTAATCCCACCTCTTGGAGTGATCACTTACCGTGGGTGGAGTATGCCCATAACACACACATCTCGTCTGCCTCCGGGTTATCTCCGTTCGAGGCATCTCAAGGGTTCCAACCTTCCCTACTGCCTATGTCCTTCCCAGACATTGTCATTCCATCTGTCAGGCAGTACATGCAAAATTGTCAACGTATTTGGAACCAGACTAAGACCGCCCTTCAACGAACATCTGCCCAGAATAAGCGTTTGGCAGATAGAAAAAGAATTCCGGCCCCTGCCTTCTCACCTGGCCAGAGCGTTTGGTTGTCGTCTAAGAACTTCCCTCTAAAATCCTGTTCCCGCAAGTTGTCCCCCAGGTTTCTGGGTCCGTTCATTGTTGATGCTGTCCTCGGCCCCTCTGCGGTCCGCCTTAAGTTGCCCTCTCATTTCCGTGTCCACCCAGTGTTTCATGTTTCTCAGATCAAACCCTATGTCTCTAGTCCTTTGTGCCCTCCGTCCGAGCCCCCTCCGCCCGCCCGGGTTGTTGATGGTCACCCGGTCTACACCGTTCGGCGCATTCTGGATGTGCATCCTCGTGGATGGGGTAAACAGTACCTGGTGGACTGGGAGGGTTATGGCCCTGAGGAACGGACCTGGGTTCCTCGGTCCTTCATACTGGACCCGTCCCTCATAGCCTCTTTTAAGCGCTCCGCTGCGTCTTCCTCAGGTCGGCCGCCAGGTGGCGTCCGTTGAGGGGGGGGTACTGTTGGGTTTTGCAGGGGAGTGGTTTTCTTCTCCTTCACAGGGAGGCAGGCTGATGAAATCCAGCTGTTACTCATCACCTCCAATTTGCAAGGTCAGCTTCCCAGATTCAGATGCCAGATGGTTCCGCTTCTACTGTGCGAACCCATGCTGAACACCCTCTGAGACAAACTCACCTGAAGAATCTGATCCTCGCTGCTCCACTGGGCCTTGCACCTGGATACGTCACCTGCCTTACAGCTGCTGCCTGTCCGCCCTCAGGCTCCTGCAGGAACCTCTCCATCTGGAAACCACCACACCATGCCAACTGCTGGAACTCCCAAGTACTCCCCTCTGCCTACCTCTACCTACTGACCTTTCCCCGCTGACCTGGTCCCTCCCTGCGGTCGCAGATCTACGTCCCTCCACACACTTCCCTGTTTAATAAATTTGTTAAAACTGTTTGAGTGTCCGTAGTTGTTGCTTGCCTTAGAGTCCTGGAAACCTCACATTATGACATATTCAGCTTCATTATCAGACCATGTAACTTTTTCTGTGCAGTGACAATTTTGAAATTAGGTAACATTTCACCAGCTGAAGAGATCATAGTTGGCAAGACTCAGAATGTTATATGGTCCTGAGAAAAAAATGTCTTTCTGATACTCCACCATGTCCTTTGAAGCAAAAACTGTTGCAAAACTACAGACATGAGTGGAAAGATGCACATCTCAGACCGAACATTCTCAGTGACAATGAATACAGGCAATTGAAAAAAAAACTTTAAATCAGGTGTTGAGTAGACTTTTCGCCCAATTTTTTTATTTCATTTGTTTTTTTTTTACACTTGCTTAGTTAAAGCGTAACTAATTTATTAGGCGGTTTGGGACCACTTTCTCCACTTTCTTTTTAATCACTTTCTTCTTTTCTGAAAGGTGGCAACCCTACCTGAGATCTGTTGTATTTTCTGGTGAATTTAACCTGTCCTGTGTTTTCCTGCCAAGGAAATCACAAAAAAAGTTTGGACTAAGTTCATGATTGCTCAGCCGAGCAATTTTACTGTCAGCAAATGTTCAGCAGTCTTCCGGACAAATCAGATCTGGCACCTCAGTGTTCACCTGAGCAGAAAGTTTGGGTCTTTAAACGAGATATTCCATTCAAATCCATCCCTAGGAAGCTGGGTCCACGCTTCATAAGTTTTCTAAAATCTGTTTTTACTACTAAGGACTGCATTGCTCAGTGAGCTGTTCTTAGGAGACGTAAAACCAAACATATTCAGATTTTACACTGAAAATAATAGATAAGTTGAACTACTGACAAATGAAAAGATTTTACATTTAAAAATGTAAGATAGGAGTCCTTGTGATTTGGTTTCAGAATAGGCTGTCCCAGAAACAAGTTAGGAATTATGGAAATATTTATCATTTTCAACGAAACAACATTAAGCTGCAGATCATTTACATGACAAACACCTCATTCATTCACACCAAAGCAACCCTCTGTCTATGTGTGGTTTAATAGGCTGTAGTAATATGCTGAAAGTCATTTTTTCAACATGAGTTCAGAGTACTTTCACAGGAAACCAGCCACACATGACATGATCACTCACAGACAGCAACAGCTGAAGAACTTACCACTGGAACAGTTGGAACCCCCCCAGCCTGGTTCACATCGACAGGTGTTGGGTGCCATACAACTGCCGTGAACACAGCTGTCTTCACAGTGTGCTGTGCAAGGAGAAGACAGAAACAATGATGAATTCATTTGACTTTTTTAATTTTATGTAAATTAAATTGAGATTATGTATAGAGCTCAGTAAATCCACATTGCAATTTACAAAATGGTGTAAAACATGTAATTGTTATTAAAGATCACTGATGATGTGTTGGAGGTAGATTGTAGGTGAAAGGTTAGGGGTAAAATGGGGACTCACGGGAAAGTAGAGATAACCAACACTTTATTAGGACATAGATTGTTGAACAACTTAAACGTGTCAGAGAAAGGACATGGGAGGAACATTGAGTAACCCTGAGACATTAGCCAAGAAGTCAGGACAAGACCTCGAAGACCTTTTGTCCTGATGGATGAACAGATGACATGAGTTCATCTGTCCAAACAAGTTACCCAATAAAGCAAGCACAGCAACAATGTTAGCCAATGAAAATGCACTGAAAGCGGGTATAAACTCTATACAAGGTGAGAGCAAAAGAGGAATCTTTGGTTGGATCCTTCAGGCAGCTTCGAGTCAAGACCGAGATGGACAAAGAACTCTGCAGCTGAAGAAGAGCCGGGGCCACAGAGCCAAAGACTGTCCGGCGCATGGGGACCAATCCGTCAACCCCGCAACATGTGGCTTCAAATCGCACTTCTGCCATCAGCTGGGTTCAGACCCCAAAGACAAAGATGAAGACCAAGGAAAAGATGAAGATCAAGGCAAAGATGAAGATCAAGGCAAAGATAAAGACCCAAGTCCTGTGTGACCTCACCATCGATACAGAGATGACAGCTCCAACAGAGATCCCTGCCTTTGTCAATCAACCTCCTTCTCCTGCTGCAACATCTTCTTCATCGAGCCAGTTCTGGGGTAAAAAACACCATCCTTTGCCCGTCTCTCTAAAGGTTCCCTTTTTAGTTCTCAGTATCAGCATTAGGGAAAGATAGGCTAGATAATTGATTTTACTTATTTGATTATTTCTGCTACTTAATTAAGCTGTACTGACCCTTGCAAAATTCTTTACTAATAAAATATTTAGCATAAAGAAAATCTAAAAGATGTTGTGAACATTCAATTCATGAGTTACCTCACAAGTTCTTTGATGGTAGTAAAATGGCTATGATGTTTGATTCTGGGGAAGAAAACTAGGTAATGTTTTATAGGTTGCTTTAGCCCAAATTTAAAACAACATCCTTGGGACTCGCCCGAGTCACTAAAACCAACCTGGTTTAGTAACAAGTGCAAGTTGTAAAAAAGAGAAGGAGCGACCGTTAACAGATGTGCTCTGTGAAACTAATTGGCGGTAGACTGCTCAGTCTGGCTAATGAACAGGGGGAAGAAGAGTGAGACATCTGGATGGAGGTCGTAGAAATCAGGCGAATCCTTTCTCGAAACCAGCTTAAACAGAGTTCACTTCAGTTCTGGATAGGGTAAATCCCAGCAGATTTAGGAAAGTCAATTTACCCGTTAGATGAGAGCTGGTAGCACATCTCCCCTCTCAGAAGAGGAAGTAGTGACTGAGAGAGTAGAGAGTGAAGGAAAGGGGCGGGGTGTAGCGGCAACGACAATGCCTTTTTTTCTTACTGTCCGAAAAGATTAAACCAAATTTCCTCTGTTTTAGGTCAGTTTGAAATATCAAAAACATTTCCACTTGCCAAATTTAAGCAGTGAGGAAAATCTCAGAAGATGATGTCATGCCTTTGGAAACCAACCTTAGCTTAATTGACACATTTAAGTCCCACAGGTGGAGGCACACTTGTGGAAGTATGTTAAGGTACACCTGGTACACAGAGCTTTCTTGTTTGACACAATTGGAAAGACAAAAGACATATACCAAAATAGTCAAAAAAGAATTGTGGAGATGTACAAGTGTGGTTTTTCCTTAGGAACAACTACCATATTCTTGAAGGTGCTGTATTCATCTGTTCAAACTAGGATTGCAAACAATTAGTTAATTGTTTGCATTTGTTGCAATTGTTAACAATTATTGTCTACTTAGACATCATTGGCTAACAATAGCAAATAAATAATTTTGGCTGGATGGCAGCCAAAATTCAAAAGTGTTGAATTTGTTAGGACTTTGTCTCAGTCTTAAGACACACCTAACATTGTGAAAAAGATTAATTTTACATGTGTGGTTCTGCGTGTGTATGCAGAGGAACGAGAGTAATGGCGGTGGTGGGAGGGGATACAGGCACTCACGAGAACACATCTCTCCAATTTCAAAGAAGCCTGGGCAACACTGTGACTTTATCCTGTACATGATTTTCTCTCCTCTGCGATAAGCTGCCCGATACATCTCCCTGTAATCACACAGGGAACAGAGGTCACTTGTTGAGGACATTTACTCTTATAGCTTATAGAAAAAGCTGTCACAAATGACAAAACAGCTGATTATAAAAAAGTGAGCCATTCTGTCATCATATGTATATGACGAAGAAGTGAAAATTGTACTTTGATAAAACACCAGGTACAAAATCTGTGTTCTCTTAGATGTATGGTAAGATATGTTCCTCACCTGTATGTGGTGCACTTGAACCACTTGAGGATGTCTGGACAGTTGGTGTAATAAATCTGATCAAAACGATGAGCATAAGACTCCGTCACCATCCTTGAGTAACTGAAACCATAGAAAGACAGAAGAAAGACACTTAAAACTTACAAGCAAACTCAGTATGTCTGTTGCGAGAAGGTAAAATAAGTTAACATTTCAAACTGCTCAGTGTGCCACTTCTATCTGACCACTTGTTTTTCAAAGTTATGTGTGAAAAGTCTGTGAGAATTGAAGACTGTCCAAAAGAATTTGGCTGCAGGGCCTGCAACAAAACTCCCGCATGACTGTCTCATGAATAACCACACAACATGCTCTTTCTAAAGTAATCACATTCAACCAGTGAGTTTCACTGGTGTCTTTTTTCTTGCTCTGCATCTTCTCTTGTCCCCCATTTTTCAAAATATTTTATTCTTTTGAAAATTGTCTTTCTTGAACTACTGTGAGAGAACATTTTTTTTTGTTTCATGATAAAATCAATTTAACTCAAACTGAAAAAGGAGATTCTATCAAAAGTACTTCTTGCAGGTTTTCTCAGCACTTGTCCCAGCCCCACACAGAAATCTCTGTAGAATTCTGATTCACCTCTCCCAGTGACTGCAGACATTTGGATCATCCAGATTGAGGGAAGATGTATTATAAGGCAGAGACCAGAAGACCACAGCTGAAAGGACCGTTACATAGTACCCCATCAACTCAGCCATCATCATAGGAGCTGCACCTTCGGTTGGAGAACGAGAAGGAAACAAATCAGTTAAATGTAGGAGCGTTTAAAAGTTAAACTGTGTTGTTTGAATTGATGCATAGATGTACTTAATGTTTTCTTACACCTTAAGAAAAAAAGTTAAATAACAAGTACATTAATTCTATTGTGAAAACATTTGAAGCAACTACTTTGTGTGCTCAATTAACAGGTTAGTTTAACTGCACCATTAAACTTGTCACTCAAATCTGCAGTTAATTTGAATCCAATTCAGTTTATCCATCCCTACATTATCTTACACGCTTATCCCTCGTGAGGTTATGAGGAGGGCTGGTGCCTATTTTCAGCTGTCAATGGGTGAGAGGCTGGGCACACTCTGGACAGGTTGCCAGTCCATTGCAGGGCATTAGTTTGTTTAGATAATGCCAATTCATAACAAATATTGTCTCAGGGAAATTTACAAAACAATTATTTTAGTTCCATCATACAAACATTTGAATTGATTCTAGTTATCAAACAAAACAGTATGCTCAGTTATTTATTCAAACTTGATTAAAAAGTGTTTTTCTATGGAAACGCAAGATTGCATTAAATAATGCACACTAAAGGTCTGAAAGCTAACACAATATAAGGATGCAGAAAAAAATACACGCATACAGCATAAAAATGCAACATTAAAAACAATCAGTAAACAGCAGTGAGGGTAATGGCGGTGGTGGGAGGGAATATGTACACTCAGGAGAATGCAAGGGTTACCTGTGTCACCCATTTGTGACTGGGTGAATGACTGTCGTGTGAAGCGTAATGGCGTCTTGGGGACTTGATAAAGCACTATACAAGCACAAAGCCATTTTACCATTTCATCTACATACAGAATGTAATGCGGTTCTGGATCAGAGTTCAATGGAATTATCAACATTATCAGATGTATTTTCTATTGAAGTTGATCAATATTGATATTGTGCTAGATATCACTATAGTTTTATAACTATAGTTTTTATTAGAATATATTGTTAAGATTCTAACAATATACATCACAATCTACACATACATCAATACAAAAGTACATCTGGTAGAATGTACAATAATTTCACTAAGTTATTATTTAGACAGCCATTGTCTAAGAATAACACCACTCCTGGTGTCAATACCCCTCAACACATAATAACCAATAACATATCAGTTATTGGTTAGTATCAATAACTGATGTTAATTACTGAAACCCAGATCAAACCAAATGTATTCTTTGGTTCTCTATAAAAACACAGCTTCGAAACAGATTTTTACAGTATCTGTCTGTCTATCCATCCATCCATTAACCCATCTATACCTGCAGAGTTGATGGCTTTTTGCAATATATTTAAAACAGGTTTATACTTCCAGTTGTTAAAAATGTTTTTCTTTTCAGATTTTTTAACTACATGAATTGAGTTTAGATCCTTAGATACTCTCAGCCTAAAGTCATGTACAAGTAGGCAGTGCCAGAACGCATGTAGATAGTCATCAGGTGAATCTTCCATACAACTTGGACATGCGTTGTTTTGTGAAAAAAGCATTTGGAGAAATTGCTGTTGTGAATAAAGGTACACTCATGGAAGATTTTGTTATTTTGAATCATTTTAATTTTACTTTAAAAGTATTCCTGATAGAAGAATGTCCCATTAACACAATAGGAAGAGATTTTGTTCAAACTAAGTTTTGTTTATAGTACCAATTCAAAACAGTTCTTCTGGAGACAGTTTACAAAGAAAGTCTACCTCTGAAAGTATTACACACACTACCACTGAAATGCTTTGCATTAATTATAACCTCTAAATACTTTACCCCTTTACTAAATCTGTGTAATGATTAAAGCTGAGTACTCACAATGCAACAGATAGCAAAAATATTTTTTATTGAGGAAGCAGTAGTAAACTGTAGTAAAATTGTTCAGTACACAGTACTTTGCTTCCAGCAGTGTGATGAGGAAAGGCAGGTTGGTGACTTTGTTTCTGCAGAGGGAATGTGGAAGAGAACAATGTGGCCTGATATCAGAAAGACTGTAGACATCTGCTAGGGTTGAGGCATTGCAGGAGCATTCTGGAGAAATGAATGAAATAAAGTCTATAGTCAGTCCATAATCTGGCAGGGAGGCAGAGACAGAGGGGGGACCTTAGGTATTGTGCAAATCGTGATGTGGAAATGGCCTTGACCTGTGACGTGGAAGGTGGGGCAGATCTTTAGTCTTCTAGTAAGGCAGTTTGGACAGTCACAGGACTGATCACCTTGGAGATTGGGAAAGGATCAACAGGAGAGCAAGAAGCCAAACTGCTGCACATAACACAATTAGTGAGGTCCTTGATATTTAGCTTACATACTCCTCCCCTTATGGTATGCAGACCATAAGGGGAGGAATCAATCACTTCTTGATTGATGCATTTAGTCTGACTGATGTTGATAGCAAACCATGTCACCTTGGAGAATCTATCAACAATAATAAGTAATATAGTGAAGTTATTGGAGAGAGGCAGACCTCTAATGAAGTCCATGGGGAGGTATGACCAAGAGCAATGGAGGACAAGAAGTGGTCACACGAAGGGAGAATTTGGCTTGGTTAAAAAATCAACATGATGAAACAAATGTTCTATTTTGTACAGGCTTCGCCCTTTAAGGCTATCGTTAGTGGGTTTATTCTTTGCGCACAACACAGCATTGAAAAAAAGCTTAGTCCACTCCCACCTACTTGGTGGGCCCCAACCCGCTTTGTATAACACTCAGACCAAACAAATGGCCCTTTTTATTTCCCCTTTTTTCATTCAGAAAAACCGTTATGATAATAACTTTGGTGTGGAGCAGATTCAGTAGCGGAGAAGGGGGGAGAATTAATGATTGAGGGGATTCATTATCATTGGAGGAGGATGATGAGAGAGATGTGACGATGGACAGATTGATTAAGATTACCTGCTGCTACCCAGTAAGAAAGAATGAAAATGTTCATAAAAAGGGGTTTCATCATTTCATGCAGGTATGAGGGCAGATGTGTGTGTGTGTGTGTGTGTGTGTGTGTGCGTGTGTGTGTGTGTGTGTGTGTGTGTGCGTGTGCGTGTGCGTGTGGGTGTGTGTGTGTGGGTGGGTGTGTGTGTGTGTGGGGGGGGGGGTCAGTCCAGGATGGGAACAGCTAACTTAGTGTTGCTAACAACACTAAGTTAGCAAGCAGTCAGAAAAACACTGGTGTAACTTTGACACTAGTATGGGTTCCTTTAGACAACTGTGAAATTCATGGAATTCAACTTTATTGTCACTGCATGTCACAAGTACAAAGCAACAAAATGCAGTTTGCATCCATCCAGAAGTACTTAGCAAGAAAAAAAATAAAAAATAAAAATACATATTCCAGATGTACATTTAAGTTTGTTTTATAAACAGGAGTAGATTATCTATACAGTATATACAGTAGTGACAAATAGCTAAGTGCAGGTAATAAGTGTGATATCAGTCCGTGTGTTGTTGTGGATGAGAATACAGCAATCGTAGTATCATAGTTGTTTAGCTGTCAGGAGTTCAGGAGTGTGGGGAAGAAACTGTTTCTGTATCTGGTGGTCTTAATCGATAGGCTCCTGTAGCACCTCCCAATGGTTGTTGTTATTCTTCCTGCTTGCTCAGGACGCAGAACAGGGACATTTGTCCAGTGTCAGTGGTGATCAGTTCTGATGAATGTGTCCTGGACGTTAGGTCACATTTGAATCATATAGGTATCGGAGATGGGCTGCATTCAAAACAGAATCCGACCTGTGCTGTTCAGACTTTCATAAAAACAGGTCGCAATACGTCAAAATCAGATGATTTTCCCAGCTCTTTTCAGACACTGCTTTCTGTATATGGCATATCTGTATGGCAGGAAGTGGTGCTTTGGTGATGTTCTGGGCAGCTTTCACCCAGAACCTTCTGCAGCGCCTTCCGGTCCGAGGCCGAGCAGGACCTGTACCAGAGGCCGTTGGTCAGAATACTCTCAATGGTGCAGCGGTGAAAGTTCACCAGGATGTGAACTTTATATAGTTTCAGAGTTCTCAGAAAGTAGAGGCACTGGTGAGCCTTTTTGACCAGCTTGGAGTAGCTGGTTGTCCAGGTTACACCTTGAAGCTTAGGAACTTGCTCACACGCTCCATCACCATACCCTGGACATGAATAGGTGAATGTGGGTCAGCAGTCCTCCTGAAGTCCACAATGAGCTCCTTGGTCTTTTCAGCAGAGCAGTAGGTTGTTGGTGTTGCACCATTCACTCAGCCAGGCATTCCAGCTCCTCCCAGCAGGCAGTCTCATCATTGTTTTTGATGAGGCCAATCACTGTGGTGTTGTCTGCAAACTTGATGAAGGTATTGGAACCATAGACAGATTTGCAGTCAGGGGTGAGAAGGGAGGAAAGAACTCATCACACAGCCTTGCAGTACCCTGTTGATGGTAGATGAGCAGTGGATATCCAGCCGGACATGTTGGGGTCAACTGGTCAGGAAGTCCAGTAACCAGTTGTACGAGGGGACTAATGCCTACGTCAACAAGTTTTGTGAAGAGTTTTGAGGGGATAAATTCTGTTTAATGCAGAACTGAAATCTATGACCAGGGTCCTAGCAAAGTTGTTTTTACTGTGTTGTGCAGTCCTATGGAAACGGCATCCTCTGTGCTCCTGTTATGGCGGCATGCGAATTGGTAGGGGTCCAGGATGGGGGGTAGACAAGATTTGAGGTGTGCCAGGAGAAGCTGTTCCAAGCACTTTGTGATAATCAGGGAGAGCGCAACCAGGCGGTTGTCATTGAGACTTGATGGGTTGGAATTTTTGGGTATCGGGATGAAGAATGTCGATGAAGCAGGTTTGTACCACAGCAAGGGCGAGAGAGAGATTGAATATGTCTGTCAGCACTCCTGCCAGTTCCCCAGAACACACGCTGAGAACACATCCAGGGAGAACAGGGTGCCAGACCAGCCAGCGGCCTACCACAACCTGGCAACGGGTGACACAGACAGCTACAGCTTAATAATCGCAACTTGTTACTTCTTTGACGTATGACACAAATAAACCCCAAATATGTACATCCATCACCAATTCAGTGACATAAAGTGCCTCTTCTGTGTCAGACTGAATATGAATGAATTTATTTAACACAAAAAATAAAATAAAAAAAACACTGGTGGATTTGGCACAGCCATGCTATGGAGTCCCCTAGGAGGCATGGGGAAAAATTTATTTTGCGTTTCCTCTTAATTTTTGTATTCCCTTGCAATAAGCAAATATATCCTGGTCTATTTTGGATACAGTCACAAATGTTAATTTAAAATTTGTAATACACATTTAAAGAGCCTCAGTGAAAATTTGTTTATATACTCATACTTATATATAACTGTGCTGCTGGGCCCTAACAGGTCACTGTAGGGCCCAGCATAACATGTAGGGCAGCTGTCACTGGAAATGCTGCGATAGCTGCCAAGTGCCACGATTTGAGCCTGTTATCTCTCTTCAGCAGAGTGATCCTTTCTCTTTCTCATATTGCTTGAAACCTGTGGGCAGCTTAATAATCTGGACAATTCTTCTTAAGCAGATTTTCTTCAATTGAGTTCACCTGGCAAACTAATAAGCATAGGTCTCTGAAAGTGATCATAGTGATTCAAAGAGCCCCAAGACACAATACCATCTATTCAATGGAAAAACAAAAATAATAATGATGTAATCTTTATGACGTCTATATTCAACTTGCATAATAATTTGGAACACACAGTGCTCTGAATTATGCAAATAAATAAGTTTTTAAAAATCAGATTTTACACTGGTTTTT